TTATAAATTCAAAGGCCACAATCACAATATCAAGAAACTTTGATAGGTAGAGAGGAGGGAAACTAAAAAAGCTGATACTGCAGTGTGTTTAGGAAAAATAGGTAAAATCTTCCCCAAAAATACTTTCAGAAATTAATTTTATTAGTGATTATTGTTAACAGATACTAAAATGTGTCAGGTTATGTTTTAAATTATTTATGCTAGTACAAAAAAGAATACCCGTATAGACCTGAATTTGGTATTATAATATAAGTAATTAGGTAATAAATAATAATTAATTGCACTGTCTATCCAAAAATGTCATTGAAGTAAAAAATGCAAGTCCTCTTAACAAGAAAAAAAAGTTGTTACACTCATTGTGGTCTTCACATCAAAATTATTCCAGGAATTTCAAATCAATAAGTAAAACTATGTGACTTTTGTTTCCTTTGTATGATCTTCCCCCTATGGTATATCCCCTGTTGTCATTGTATTTGATTTTGGTACCCTACGTCTTGTACATACATTTATCTAATTTGGAGAAGGAAAGGGGAATAACAAAATGTTGAAACAAGGACACGGGATGACCTATTGCAACAATGATAGTCACAAGACACTATGTTGGAAATGAACGTTAGAACTTGGGGGTAGGGAGGAGTGGAGGAGATGTGGGAGGGAAGGGATAATAGGAGAAAAATCAAAGGAGGGGGTAAAATGTTCTACAAGAAATGTACTCATTACTTTACTGATGTAATTGTAATCCCTCTGTACAGCATCTTTACAGTAAAATAATTTTAAAAGACTAACTATTTAAAGAGCTTATAGAAATATCTTAACATATAAAATCAACTTATTGTACAAAAAAAGTTATGTTGGGGTGGTACGATCTTTGTAATCCAAAGTGAAAAATTCCAGTGTGAAAAAAAAAACTAAATGGACTAAATTAAAATTAACCCTAGCAAGGAAGAACAAAAAAAAATACAGAATAAAAAGACATGAAACATGATTTCTTATTTCAAAGACAGTGCTAACAACTATAGAGAAAAATATTCCTATTGCCTAAATGCCATAAGAAATTGATAAAATAAATAATAGTATATCAATTCAATGTGAAAAGAATGATGACACAAATTGATATGGAATGAGTCCCCAAATACAATAAATAGAAAATGAAAGCATAGAATGCTAGTTACCACGTTAATAAAACAGATATATTTACTTTTTTCATATAATGTAGGTGTCTTTGCATGTAGACTTTTCAATTATTTTCCCACTCGGTATATCTTTCAAATTTCTACAGGAAACATATTTTATTGTCAGAATTATCTATAATAAAATAATAATGTGATAATGCAAGGAAAATGAGTTGAATCACTTTGTATAAGTAAGGAAGAGAAAGCATACACACTTTTACTAATACAAGTGTTGGATGTAAGTCAATATGAATAATTGTTCTGTAAGTGGGGGTGAATGAACAAATGCAGCATTGTTACTCACTAGACACTATGTTCAAAATGAACTATACAACTTGTTCGGAAGTGTGTCTGGAGGAAAAATCAGGAAGAAAATGAGGGAAGAGGTGACACTGTTCAAAAGAAATGTTCTCATTACCTGACTTATGTAACTGTAATCCCTCTGTACAGAACCTTTACAATAACAGTAAATATAGGTAAATGTATATTAAAAATCTCTGTCACCATATAAGATGATGTTAAGCGAAATGAACCCCAAGACAGGAACACAGTGGTTTTTCTTTCTTGCTATTGTTTTTTAATATACTTGTAATGTACTATGTGATTTTTTTTGTTTCTTTGGTATGTTCCTCCCCCAATGTATAGCCCCTGTTTTCACTGCATTAGATTCTGTTGCCCTGTATTTTTTATATACATTTTATTAATTTGGGAAGGAGAAGAGAAAAAACAAAATGCTTAAATAGGGATACAGGTTGACCCATTGTAACAATGAGATTTACAAGACACTATGTTGAAAAATGTACTTTACAACTTGTAAGGGGGGGGAGGAAGGGAGGAGTTGGCCAAGTGGGGAGGGAAGGGATGGTAGGGGAAAAACAAAGGAGGAGGTAACAATGCTCAATAGGAAATGTACTCATTACCTTATTCATGTAACTGAAACCCCTCTGTACACTATTTTTACAATAAAAATGTATTTAAAAAGATATGGATACAAGAGGTTTTTCTTTGTCTTTGTTTTTAATGTACTATGTGATTTTTTTGTTTCTTTTCTATGTTCTTCCCCCTATGGTACATCCCCTGTTACCATTGAATTTGATTTTGGTACCCTGCATCTTGTACATGCATTTATCTAATTTGGAGGAGAGGAAGGGGAATAACAAAACGCTGAAACAAGAATATAGGCTGACCCATTCTAACAATGAGATGTACATGACACATTGTTAAAAATGATCTTTACAACTTTGGTGGGGGAAAGGGAGGAGTTGGTGACGTGGAGAAGGAAGGGATGGCTGGGTAAAAACAAAGGAGGGGTAACAATGTTCAAGAGGAAATGCACTCATTACCTTAATCGTGTAACTGTAACCTCTTGATAAAGTAATCTTTACAATAAAAATATAATAATAAAATAAAATAAAAATAGCAAGAAACTATCCAATTAGCTTCTATATAAACATATCTTGAATTTTGCTTTGTGATTTGAGCCAAAGACAAAGCAAAAGGTCTATGTTACAAAATCAAGTCATATCTTAGTGTGGTGTTATTCTCTTTCAGTGTTTCTGTTCTGCATTATGGAAAAACACAAAGGGGGAAGTACTAAACTTTGATAAATATTCTAAGAGTCAATAAAGTTGTTGCAAACTATGCAGCTTTACAGGTTCTTCTGCCTATGATATCTGCTAGCACTCTATATATCTAAGTTAGGAACCAACTAAACCATATTTATTATATTTTTCTTCATTGGGACTTTGGCATATAAGTAAAGCTGCTATATAGATATTTGTGGATGCAAAAATCTCAGAAATGGAATTGATGCTCTCAAAAGTGCAGTGAATGGTACTATTAAAATAAATAAATTTCCTTCCTGATGTTTTTTTTAAAATAAACCACCTAAAGATCCAAACACATGATATTTCAGATGCTATAATTTTAATTCTACATACATGGGAGAGGGACCTATTGTAAAGCAAATAATAAAATCAAGATAATGAATGCTATATTGTAGACTCAGGGAGAATTATTAGGAAATTTCAAGCCTAGGGAACAGAAAATTTCAAATCTTGCTTTCTTCCTATTAGAATTTTCCCCTGTAAGGTGTTGGAGGGGAAAATGTGTAGCGGGAAATGGAAAATGTAACATGTTATTCTACTTTTATGTCTCATGACAACCCCTCCATTAAACTTTTTAATAAACTTTGAGTTTAAAGAGTATCCTCTTATTAGTCTCAATGCCAATTTTCAGGTTCTAACTACTTGGGCACCAGCTGCAAAATATTGAATTGGTGAGAGTATGCTGTCACCTATAAGAAAAATAGGAGTCATGGTAGTATGGTCTTCTCCCAAGGCAAGATACTGGATGGGCCCTGAGCCAGGGAAAACAGGTTATAAAAAGAGCTTTTCTTGGTGAGATCCTGCTACTGCTCTCTCTCTCTCTCTCCCATCCCCAGGAGCCTTCTCTTTCCCATTGCTTTTAATCCCCATCGTCCTCTACTGCTTTTCCCCTCTCCTACATCCACACTCCTCTGTGTTTCTTCTTCCCCCCTTCCCCTCTCTCTTCAACTTCCACTTTCTTCTTTCTACTCACTTCTCCTACTCCTCCTGTCCCATTCCTCTTCAGTATCTTCCAACAGAAGTAAGACCTAAGACATACATAAAAATGTTAATAATAGCGATCTTTTGTTAAATTATCCTTTTCCAGAATATTCCTTAACTTTTACTCTGAATAAGCGCTGTACTTTTTATACTTAGGAGAAAATGCTAGATATTTATAGCATGACACACTTTATTTGACATTTATTTAAGTTGCAATAAAAGAACATGAAAAAGTATTCAATGATATAATTACTGACAGTGAAAGGCAAAGTAGAACATATTAGAAGGAAATGTGGTTTCTTTAGTTTTCAATAATACATAATAATTATCTTTTTAAAAATACTATTAGCTTAATACCTTAGAAGCAAATACCAACTTCACTCTGATAAAATTTACAGATCACAATGTCATATAAACAGATTCACAGAAAACTAACAAGGTCTTAACAGACATTCTGAAACAAATGTAGATTTTGAAGCAATCAAATCTAACAATGCACTATCCTAGTTAAAATAGCAATGTATATCTATAGCAAATTAATAAAGGCACAGCTAGTGCAAGCAGATTTAAACTCTCAGTCTTCTGGGCTGGAAAAGAAAACAAGAAACACTTGTGTTGGAACTTCAGGAACTTTGTGTTTTTTCAAGCAAATATTTCTAACAATTCTACAATTTGTAGAGCTACAATTTAATAGGAACAAGACCAAAAGACTTCACAAAAAAATCATTTTTAGCACCAAACAACATGCTTTAGATAATTAACAATAATAACATTTTGAAGAATATCACAGCACAACAGATAAAATAAACTGATACTTTAAGACATAATTTTTTTAGAACTTTAAAAAAACTGATCTACCAAGAAAACACATCACTAGACTATAAGTAGTAATAGTGTTCTGATTATAGGGCAGGTTTTTATCCACTAAGTCTAGAAGAACTTGCTTCAGGGGCTGGGAAGGTGGCTCAGTGGTAGAGTACTTGCCTTGCGTGCATGAGGCCCTGGGTTCAATTCCTCAGCACCACATACGCAAAAAGAAAAAAGCCCTAAGTGGTGCTGTGGCACAAGTGGTAGAGCATTAACCTTGAGCTGAAGAGCTGAGGGACAGTACCCAGGCCCAGAGTTCAGGCCCCACGACCCGACCCCCCCGAACCAAACAAAAAAAAAAAGAAAGAACTTGCTTCACTTTTGCTTGCTTCAATTTTGTAAGACTCTTGAAAAATCTTTCAGTTGGCCTCTTTTATTTCCGATATTTCCTATTTCCATAATCTCTGCCAATTCGATAGTAGGAGCATTTGACTTCTCCTGTAAAATAATAAATTGACTTCAAGATGACATTGTCATGCAAAATTTGACCAATTTCAAAGTCCTCATCTAGGATAGCATCTTCTCGTGGTTCCAGCTTTCCAATCTGAGGAATCTCAGGAGGACTAAAGAAATTGAAGAATGATGCATTAGGAACCACTCTGGGCAGGAATTCAATTTCTCCAGTAGCAGTTGTGCGACTGTTGGTTATTGTTATAGTCACATCCTTTCCTTTTCTCCAATCTATCTTGCAACCTTTGCAATCTTCAATTTCCCATCCCCAAGAGAAGAAAGGATCATTGTGATCTGGTTTTGACTTTATTTTGTATGTCTTTATCAGCAGCTTATTTCTGAAGTAGGGATTGGGTAGGAAATGAAATTCAAAGGTGTAACTGATAGGCTGGCCAGGTAGTGAAAACTTCAGGCTAACATCTGCCAAGAACTTCAAAATAGGCTCATCATACTTCTGGATCATAGGCCCAAGTTTGTCAACATTTTTCAAAACAGTCAGCCAATAGTTAGGAATGCCTTTGGGCTCTTCTTTTTCAGGTTTTCCCTCTCGAGCTCTTTTAAGATTCACTCTTTCTTTAGGTCTAGTGTCCGGAACACTTTTATGACCTCCTCTGACTGTAGCCCTGGCCTTAGATTCAATTAGTTTAGGCTGTTCTTTATTTTCTCCCTTTGACTGGGAGGCTTCTTCAGGGACTCCTTCTCCTTCTCCTCCTCTTCCTCCTCCTTCTCCTCCTCCTCCTCTTCCTCCTCCCCTTTCTTCTTCTTCCTCCTCCTCCTCCTCCTTTTCTTTTTCTTCCTTTTCTTCTTTTTCTGGAGTTACGTCCATACAATCAGAGGAATGAGCTTTTACTTCAGCATTTACCTTGACAGTTTCTTTAGTAACTTCCTTTTCATCCATAATTTCTTTAGGAACTTCCTTGTCTTCAGCTACTAAATCCAGAATTTCTTCAAGAAGTTCCTTTTCTTCAGGTTTTGTCTCAGCAATTTCTTCAGGAAGTTCCTTTTCATCAACCTTTACCTCAGCAATTTCTTTAGGAACATCTTTTTCTTCAGCCTCTGAATGAGGAATTTCTTTTGGAACCTCTTTTTCTTCATTCTTCACCTCAGCACTATCTTTAGGAGTTTCTTCTTCCTCCCCTTCCAAGGGAGGCATTTCACTAGGGGTGTCATCCTGCACCTCCTCATCACTACTAAACTCCTCATCCTCTGAATTCCATTCACATTCTTCTTGTGTAGGCTCATATTCTGCGTTGATGATTTGAAATCGCCGATCATATAGAGGCTTATTGAGTTCAGCATACTTCCTTTCAAGATCATGAATTGCCTTTAAAAACAAGGCGTCTACCTTGTCACATTCATCTTGAATATTTCTGAGCGCTTGCACCCGATTTCTGACAGCTTGTGGCAGCCTATCCACGAAATTTGTACCTGACGGAGCCCGGCATGCTCTTCTGGAAGGCTCAGGTACCCTCTTTCTGTACAAGCGGCTGCGGCTGCTGCCACTGCCGCTGCTGCCAGTGCTGCTGCAGCAGGTAGTGCTGCTACTAATGCTACTGCTGTCAGAATCTTCCCCAGAATCACTAGTAGAGCTAGCCATCTCTTCTTCAGCAGCCCCCTGGCTGGCAGGTTCCGTGACTATTTTAAGACCGGCTTCTGCCATGCTGCAACCTGCAAACCTCCTAAGGTGATGACTATAGCAGAAACCGCGCCCGGAGATGGGAAGAAAATGACTCACGGATGCTTTGGCGGTGGTGGCAGAGGCCGGGGCTGCAGAGGAGGTGGGGGTAGCTACAGCAGCAGCGGTAGCAGCCAAGGGTGGAGTGGGTTTGTAGTGTAGCGCTGAAGGTGGCAGCGGCGGTGAAGGCCTGGGCGAGAGCCGCGGCAGCAAGGCCTCTGTTGGCTGCAGCGGATGGGGACCGAGGAGTGACGCAGTGGAATGGCGCAGTGTGAGACCCAGAGATCTCTTCTTAGTTTAGAACGCAAGCCCCCCCCCCCGCCCCTCCCCCGCCCCTCTCAGTCAGACCTCCCGGTAATTTCGTTCCCAGTGTGCCTTTAGTTCGTTCCTCATTTGCTGGGCAACGTTGATTGACAAAGCTTATACCCAACAAATGGCTAAACACAAGTAGCGCCTGACTCCTCCCACCTTCCCAGATGCTCCGTACTGTCTGAGGCATACATCCCTGGAAGATGATTCCCCCACCCCCTTCATCATTCTATATAGTTTTATAATTCAAAGAAAAAAAAAGCATAGACTCGAGGTAAAAATACAAGCCATATTTCCTAACGGGAAGATGAGGAAAGTCTTCCTTTTCTTAACCGCCTATTCTGAATTCCAGTTTGATTGCTCACGGGCCTCTTGACAAAAATGTTATGAAAAAATGTGGATGAAAATGTTGTAAATGTCGTCATTGTATAGTGTGACTATGGGTGATATTTTAAAAATATTTTCTCTAAATATGCTACGAGCATGTATTTTTACACTGGAAATAAAGGGAGAGTCGTTTATTGGCAGAAGGGGCGGGGCTAGACAGCAGGCATGTTGCATTCCACGTAGCCTTTTTAATAAGTGCTGTCTGTGATGTTTGGCAAGTCTGGTTTGTGAACCCATGTTGCCGTGAGTCAGTTACACCATTTTTATTATATTTCTCTTTTTCAGCTGGAATATAATGTACTTCAACTTTGCTGCTAAATTGCCACGTAGCCCTTTTTAATACTTATAACAATCTTTTAGCTAAAACAAAAGGGAATTCAAACGTTAGGTAGTATTATTAAAAAGTAGATGGTTTGTTTTAGACTTTTGTGCAGCAGGTTTCAATTCCACGAACTGCAGGGTGGGAAGGGAAATTTGTGCTAATGAAAGTGCATCATCTGTTAACTTATACGATATCATCTGCCTTTAATTTCATTCCAATGTAATTTTTTATTTATATTAAAGAACGAGTTAGAAGTCCAGAAATATGTAAAAGAAAACTTTTGCGAAGTGAAGTTTAAAAACAGGTATTTGTTACTTTTATTTACAGGATTCTTTTCTGCTACAGAACAACTCCCTTCGTACAACCCAAAAAACCAGTGTTTACTTTCTATTGAAAGGTAAGGAACATACTTAGTCCATTTTTCTCAGTCACAAGAATTGCCCATTGTATTTGAATGTAAATTCACAGGCAATATAGGATTTTAGAGATTTAATTAGTTATCTTGATATTTTTGTAAATAAAAGTAGAAAATCCACAGAAGTGATTTTGTTTTCTAATGTAGAAAAATAACTTAACCACATTCAGTATCTAAACCTAGCCATCAAATACAAATAGTATATCAAAATATAAAAGATGATTTAGTAATAGTCTAAAATGTATTAAGATAAACTTTATACTGCTTTGATTAGAGAATGTCTATATTAACCAAATACTTTCAAAAGTTAGAAAGCATTTTACTAACTTTTAAATGAATTTGCTTTTATTGAATATCTATAATTGTGAAAGTATATGAAAATTGTAAAGATAAAATTTCAATATTCAAAATTCAATGATAATAAAAATACACAAAGTTAAAAAGCGAATGATAAACATTGTTCACAGTTTGGTGCATTTCCTACCAGAATGTTCCTTGTGTATTTATACACCTGCTCACTTAGATAACACTGTTTTATATTATATATAATTATATATACTTATATAATATATAATATTTTAAATTGATAATTTATAAATTCATTATTACTATTTTAATGGAAATGATCATCTTATTTTTAAACAGATATATATTCTTTGAAAATAATTGCTTAAGTTTATTTAATCATCTTCCATAGTATCTCTCTCCTTACATGCATACTCTTGTCCTGTCCTAAGTAAAATTATCCATTTATAATAGATCATATACTTTAAAAAATTGGTATAAGATAAATTCCTGTGAATGAGAATGCTGGAATCATGTGATCTCTGTATTATTTTATATTTCCGACCTCCATAAACTTTATTACAACTTACAAAACACAAGAGTCATTTATTCAGTCATTAAATTAATGTATGTTACCTGTCACATGCCAGGCACATTGGTAGTGGAAGAAAGAACAATGGTAAACATAACTTGCTAGATGCATATCCATACATTCTAAAATTTTAATCAAAACATATCCTAAATAAAATCAAGGGAATGAGACCATAAATATTTTTGTATAACCTTTTAATTTCAGATAAAGTGACAGACATATTTCAAATAATTTTTTTATATTTTATATTAATTTATAGCATTTTATTACATTTTCAGATTCATTTTTGTATCACTAGGAATTAATATTTCTGAGTTATCAATGAATTAGGTATCTAGATTTGTTCATTTGTTTCATGGTGCTAGACATAGAACCTACAGCCTTGCACATGCTAGGCAAGACCTATATCCATAATGTAAGACTTTTTAAAAAGTTGTATTTATTAGTTTGCTAACTCTTATAAAATCATTAATTTGGTAACATATATATATATATGTATATATATATATATGCCTCTTCTTATCATCTTAACTGAGTTGAGACTTTTCTATTGTACTGGCTGTATTTTTCTGCAAATAACTGATGAGTTAGTTTTTGTTTGTTTGTTTTGGGGACATGTTGTTTGGTTTCATTTCTTTTATTCTTTTTTTATTTTTAGCATTTGAGGCAGGATCTTGCTATGTAGATGAGGCTGGAATCAAATTCCCTGCGAAACCCGTTAACTTCAATAACACAGCAATATTAAAGATGAGTTTTCGTTGCTTAAAAAAATGATTGCAGGAGGCTCATGCATGTAATTCTAGCTGCACAGACAGGAGGCTGAAATTTTAGGATTGAAGTTTGAAGCTGGCCCAGGCAGGAATGTCCACAAGAGTCTTATCTCTAATTAGCCACCCAAAAGCCAGAAATAGAGATGTGGCTCAAGTTGTAGAATGGTAACCTTGGGCAAAAAATCCCAGAAATAATACCCAGGCCCTGAGTTCAAGCACCAGGACTCACACACACACACACACACACACACACACACACACACACACACACACACACACATTGACTGAAAACTCTCAGATAATACATAAAATATAAAAATATAAGGGAGTAATTGAAAGTAACCCAAGAAACTAATCACTTTTCATAGTTGTTAAAGATTTTATAAGCATGTATTTGTACTATGAGTAAAATTTCATCATGATATTTCTATACTTGTAAAAAATGTGTCCTGAATAATATCAAAATTCATTGTATCTATACATGAAGAGGACATAAGGAAACTCAGTGAAAGCAGACAGGAATGAGCAAGAAAGCAATAGAGGATGTTAATCTGACTGAATTGAAAATGTGCACATATGATATACCATAGTGAAATCAATTTGTGCAAAATGATGGACGGCAAGGATATGAGAAAAGGAACCCTCATATACTGTTGGTGAGAATCATTAGTGAAGCCACTATAGAAAATAGTATAAAAGTTTCTCAAAAAATAACAAATAGATCTACCGTATGACCTGGCCATATTACCCTTGGAATATAGCTCCTGCAATGTACATAAACATAAAAGAAATGCATACATATTTATATTTATTGTATCTCTGTTCGTAATAGCTGAACTCTGGAATCAACTTTGGTATCCAACAACCAATGAATATATATGTATGAGTATACTTTATAGCATATAATTTTTCACAAAATATAACTCAGCCACAAAAATATACCTATGTTATTTACAGGGGAGTGGATAGATGTGGAAATTGTTCCATTGAAAGAAGCCAAGTTCACAATGCTTGGGATCATTTTCAGAATCAAGACCTGAAACACTACACACACACACACAGACACACACACACACACACACACACACGCACACACACACACACACAATGTATATATAAACTGATTGTAACTGTGTGACTGTTTGGGACCCGATAGGAGAGAAAGAAGACGAGCAGTATAATGAAGAATGAACAATATTGTTATTTATGTTTTAATGTACTATCTCCCAAATAATTTCTCAATATGATGATTTTAAATTTCTTAGATTAGCAGAAAGACTGACTTTTTATATGGTTATTTTCTGTTTCAAAATTGTCTATTTATAACTTAGTAGTCTGATGAGTTAGGGAAAAAATTCATCACAAGTGAGATCCAAAAGTTAGTGACTTTGGTTTTAAGGCAGTGAGGACTTGATTCACAGATAATACTCCTGTTCAAGGCCTGGTGCAATGGTTCAAGTCTGTAATCCTTGGGAGGCAGAGATTGTGGGATATTATTTTGAGACTAGCACAGACATAAAATTCGTGAGGCTCCATATTGAAATGTAGTATGCACCTGTCACCCCTAGTGATTTTGGGAAAAATAAACACATGACCTAGGCTAGCCATGGCATAAAGTGAGACTCTCAAGCTTAATCAGTGAAAAAAGGTTGGAGGCTCAAGTGATAGTGCATCTGAGAGCTCAATCCTAATTACAATTATAATAGATAGAGAGGAGAGAGATAAGAGGAAGGTACAGGGGTGGAAGGGATGGGAAAGGGAGAAGAGACAGAGCCACAGACAGAGAGAAAGAAAGAACTTCTACTCTGACTCCTTTACCGTTTTCATTCTAAAGTTAGTTCCTTGGATTTTTAAATCATTTTCAAGAATTAATTTTTAATCATACACTGATACTGAGAATGTATG